CCGCTATAATACCCCCAAACACCCGCGAGCCCTGCACTCGGACCCAATAGGACCCAACCCTGAACTCTAAGCCCACTTTTGGAACCGCCCGCGCAGCCCATGCACCCCATGCGCCCAAACATTAGAAAGCCCGCACAAAGCCAGCAATCATTGCGAGAACCGGCCCCAGCCTAGACGCTTGCCAACTAGATCTGAGCCCTAAACCCTCGCTCTCAGAGTTCAGTACCCGATGACCTCTGCACCTCAAAAACCTGAGCCTAAATCAGCCGCAACCGCTTGACAACTCCAAGCCCGCACAGTGCTCTCCATGAGACACTTGCACAACCTTCCAAGACATACTTCGACCATGGCAAGGGGCCTTGCGACATTACTCAATCCCAAACTGCGTGCTTCCTTCCGGAAAAAGTCCATCGGATGACTGTGTACCACATGTGTAGCTGAGTCTAGCTTCCCGATCTAGCATCCCAGAAGACATCGCAGCAGGTCCTGCAATGCTCTGCAGGCATCTTCCACTCGCAGTAGTTCGTTCTGCAGCTGCGCCATCGACAGGTGAAGCCTATCAAAGCAACCGCACCCCCCCCCCTCTCGAAGCCACGTAGCACTATCATGAACTGTGCTTTAGGACATGTTCTGTTGCTACTTCAAGATTGGTGAAGCATCGCGGCCCAGCAGATAAGCCTTAAACCGTAGCCATTGCGCCGAACACAACATGCAAAGCCGGAGTACCAGAAACGAACAAACGACGGGCACTTTGAGTTGCGGGGGTTCTTCTGGCAGACGTCTTGCGAGGTCTTGCAGATTTACACAGGGCAGGGTTGCTCCAATCTATGTTTCCGTCTGAGTGCAGACACGGTCTATCTTAACAGAACCCTAAAAAAGATCAAAGTCCTCAAAATTCTTTTTAACCCTACCTTAGAATACCCCAGTAGCCTTAGCAAAACAGCCTAGCCGGAGGCCCTACCAAGGTATCCTCAAAGCGGCCGTGCTAGGCCCCCACCCTCCCACACTTCATCTCATCCCCCTATTAAACCCTACACCCCTAAACCCTAAATCCAAGCCCCGAACCCTAAACCCTAAACCCTAAAGCACTCAAACAAAAACCCCTCCACCTTTCATTCTCATCATCCCAGCTCTTCCCGGGGCTCAAGTCACCAGCCGAAGGCGAAGCCATGGCTCAGGAAGACCGGAAAAAAAGACACAAACTTTGGGGTTTAGGGTTTAGGGAGGGTTTAGGGTTTATGTAGAGGCGTAGAGTTCGGGATCTGGGGTAACTCTCTAGGGTTTGGTGCTTAGGCATGGGGTTTAGGAGCGGTGGCAACGAAGCTAAACCGAGTGATTGGAGAATGACGAAAAAAGGCATACGACCTTGTCTTCTCTATAGCGGACGTTACCTTGTGCGCATCCTTTCGTGTTACATGACATTGTCATATACGATGCATATTCTCGGCTCTTGTACATGACTTCCGCCACAACTAAGCATGTGCAGAGACGGGGCTCGCACATGCGATTGCGTGTCATATTGTTCGAGATGACAGAATAGAAACTTAATCAAGAATCGCATGACGGCAGGGCTCCTGCCTGGGCAGAGCGCCGGGAAGAGGGCCACTGTACTGATCTGCTGTTTAAAGGAGTAGTCTTCTGCCCGGTTTCCTTCTGCTTGCTTCTGCTGCTACTACTGCTGCCGTTGTTGCTATCGCCTCGCTAGCTCCATGGTCCAGGGCGTCATGTCCAAAGTGCGTTCAAAGATGGGCGGCAAAGATGGCAAATGGCGCACTGGCACTGGCAGTGCTTGGGGCACCGGTTACGATCAACTCACCGACGATGGGGCTCCAGCCTCGGGTCTCCCCAAAAAACCATCGGATCTCTGCTTCGCCCGGGCATTCTTTGGGGCTCAGGGTTCGGCTGAGAACATTCACATCGGAGCCGGCGTGAGCGTCAGGCCTCAGCTTGCCCAAATTCTTACGGTCAGAATCGACCGGTTCTGTGAAGACTCCAAGACTCCACGGATCCAAGCCTCAGGCACATTCATGGCGGCTTTCTTTCTGTCCTTGCATCTCTCGGCTTCAGCTGGACCCGGCTCAACATCAAGCGTGCGAGGATAGCCCCGCAGGGAGAAGTCTGTAAACACCCCGGTGAAAGAAGCCCTGCGTTCGGAAATATTCAAGAGGCAACGAAACGATCCGGCAGGACCTGGTACGTTATTCTTAAGACTCCAAACCAAACCGAAAAAGTCTGCACACCACTTTCGATCACAACCCTGACTGCTGCTGCCCGCCTTCTCCCGAACATCCCACACCTTCCAGCTGCCATCGGAGCTGCAAGAAGCAAAGCTAGACCTCAGAAACATCACGAAACGACCTTTGGACAAAGACCTGTCGACGCGAGCCGAATGCGCTCAGCGGCCCACTTGAAGCCCGCAAAATCCAAACTGCCCCCACCCTCATCCCATCCCCACCACCCGCGCTTTCTGCCTCACTATCGCAGGCAGGACACCGGTCACACTGCGGACCAGCCAAGGTCATCGGTAGACCCCATCGTCTTACACGAGGTTGATACATTGATTCATCTTTGTCAATGAGGGCGTCACAACACTAACCACAGCTACATCGGTCTATACCCCGTACAGTCCACACACCCACCTAAGCACTTCAACCAGCCCAAACACCTGGCATCGAAACCGGGCCTATGGAAGATGCATCAGCCAACCCCCGCTGAGTCCTTGAAGCCTTTCGCGAAGTCGTTCGCAAACCCCCTATATGGGTCTATAAGGCCCGAATCGGAGCCTGATACACGCCCAAAGCTTGAAGGGTGCCCGAGTAAGATCAGCCAGGGCATTAGGTCCCAAATCCCGAAACCGAGACCCGGGCTTGGCCCCGGCACCAAGCTTCTTCCACCTCTGAGCGCAAGCGAGGAGTCTGGGCCAATTCTTGCAGGGCTCAGCTCAGGGGTTTTGTAAACATTGTAGGGGCTATATATAGCGGCTATATAGACTAGAAGGGGCCAGGAGTTCTAAAGATGAATGCAGAGGGCTCGGCATTTCGGCTCTTGGACAACTCCACAGGTCTCAGGTCGGCGGGCACTCATCGGCAAAGCAGCGGCAAGGCATCCAGCAGCAAGAAGGAGCGCTCCAGGAGGTCCTCCACACGCCGGCCTTGTCGCAGACTTTGCCTGGCCCGCGAGCCCAGGGACAGGGCACGGCTCTCCATTGGCGCCACTCGGGCACTTTCGGCCCTAAACCTTATCCTCAGGTTCAGCATGGCGTTGTAGGCCAGATCCAACATGGAGGGGACCATGCGGCGTATGTCCACGTAGTAGAGCCAAACGGAATTTGCAACAGCACCATCACTGCTCCGAGCCACCTGCTGCCAGGACAAGACGGAGTTTTTGGCCATGCTCTGGAGCAGCTCCCGACCATCCAGCATTGGAATCATGCATACTTTGAAGATGTAGGCCTCTTCCAGCCTTTGCGGAGGACTCTCCTCCAGAAGCAGGTTGAAGATCCGCAAGCCTATCTTTCCAAAGCGATCCCGGATGAACTGTGAGAGGGCCATGCTGCGCAAACACTCACATGCACGCTCCCAGTCCACAATCCACTCGCTCATGTCGGACTCCTTGATAGCAGCAACCCGCTTGCGCAAGACCTGGTCTTTGTGCTTGGCAAGTAAGTCGAGGCTGCTGCGCAGCTTCTCCTTCACCCGCGAGGGATCGCGACCCTCCGCTTTGAGAAGGCCCGCGCTTTTCTGATAGACCTGATCCAGGTTGGCATAGCTTGACGTCACACCTTCGCCACTTTGGTTCGGCACCACCCAGTGCAGCATTGCATGCATCGCCGCTGCCGCCTGCTCACTCGTCTGTTCCTCCACCAGGCGGCAGAGGGCAGATTTCCGAAGGCACAGGTCGAGGTTCACCCGGTCGTAGCGATAGACCGCATCTTTCATGTCGTTCGCTTCCTCTGCGTCCGCTTTGGGCTCCGCATCTCGGCTGAGCTCCGCGGCGCCGGCCGAAAGGACGTCCTCGAGGCGTGGCCTCTTCCGCTTCTCGGGCCCCTTCGGCTGCAAGCGGCTTTTTTCCACACCTCCCGAACCCGAGGGGGCCGAAGGAGCCGAGGCGGCCGAGGCCGCAGGAGCCGAGGCGGAGGCCCCGACGGGTCTTAGGATCCGCTCCGTGACCAAAAGCCGCAAGGCCTCCTTGGCCTCCTCTGAGGGCGACCGGGAGGCCTCCTTGGCCTCCTTGAGGAGGACATGTCGGGCCACCCGGCCGAACTTGAAGACCACTTCCAGCAGCTCCTGCCCGAGGGGACCATACTTGCACCCGACGTACTCCAAGTACTGTGGAAAGCGGATGCGGGCAAGAACTTCCTCGATGTCTATGGCATACACCTGAACGTGGGCTTTACCGTCCTGCGACTGTCGGAATGGATGAAAGTTAACAAGGCCGTGCTGCGTCAGAACCAACAAAGCATTGCGGATCTGAGAAAAAGTCAGATCGTCATCCTCAACCACCTTCCCAGAAGCCATAATCTCTCGGATGGTCAGCTGACCCCTTTCCAACAGCATTTCCCCGACTTTGGCCACCACGTCACCGAAGGCATCCTGGAGGAGGTCCACGGAGAGCCGGATGGCGTTGGGTGAGTCCATGGCTTAAGGGACGGGAAGGCCCCCAAAAAGCGTCTGAAAAACCACCACCGGACGGTCCGTGCCTGGGGTTAAGGTTGAGCTGCATGAGCTTTGAAGTCCAACACTGAAAATGAAAGCCACGCTTCTTCGATCAGTCGTCGGCTCATGCTTGTCTAGACAGGCTGCTTTCAAACTTGGGATGCCCACCCGAGATATGAGTGCCAAGGTGTCGGGCGAGAAGCGACTAGAGGGGAGGGATATGTCCTGGTAAGGCTCCACCAACCCCTGCAAAGCCACCAAGCACAGGACATGAGCCAAAACGCCGCGGACCACAATACATGCAGAGGATGTCGCACCTAGAGCTTGGGAGGTGCCCAAGACAACTTATGAATAAAGCCATGGCTCGAAGAAAGCTACGCCAAGGCGCTGGACGTCCTCGACCGAGGATTTGTGCATCTTGAATGGCTCCGAGTTCACCTTCCAGCCTGGCGAAATCTGCTTCTGACTGATATCCCGGCTCTCTTTGCCTGTGCTTCGGGTTTGGGGGCCTCCTGGCACAGGCTCCGCAAGCATGATCAGGGCATCGTTGCCTGCGCGAGCTTTTGCCTCTGGGCACCAGCCGAAGTCTCTAAGTGGCCAGCCTCCAGAAAGGAACAGCCCGGTGTCGTGCGGGCTGAAATCCATGGCGAAACCCTGGCCAGCAGTAACCGTCTGAGAGCTCTCGACGGCAGGTTTCTCTCTGCTGCCCGCCTCATCTTTGTGGGCCTCGCTCGTAAAGATGGGCTTGGCCTGCGGAGGCACCTTGCTGGGAGAGTACGAAACGAAATCGTGCCATCACAAGATATCGCCAGAAGGGCCACCCTGTCCCCACTCTTGTCAAGAGCTTTTCGATGAGCTTCTAGGTTCCACCTCAGCCGACAACATGTGAGTCACCTGGGAAGCTGGACACAGCACCACCGCCTCGTTTCAGATGCTGGGGACCCTGCATGTGCACCTTGCCAGTATCCTTGGCGTCTTCGTGTTGCCATCGTCGCTACGGCAGCTACGGCAGCAGCAGCAGCAGCAGCAGCTGCAGCAGCTAGAGCGTCATTCAATTCTGAAGAGGAGCTGTAGTGCATGCCCTCATGCGCGTCTGAGCACTCCCAACTTCTGATTGCAAGCACATCAAGCCTTGCCTTGCATGTCTGGGCACCCTCATGCTCCAGGTTCGTGAGAAGCGAGACACCGACGTCCCAAACTATACTCACACACACACACATATATATATATATATATGTGTGTGTGTGTGTGTATGCCTTTTATTGTTACTGCTGCTCGTGTTGAAACCAATACTGGTATTCACTTCATGTGAAGAGTAATTCTAACACGAGAAGTAGTATTCATATTACTGTTAACATGGATGTTAGGGTGCATATCAAAACTATTAATAGCATCCATAGTTAAATTGATACTGATATTCGTGCTAATATTGGCATTAAAAATTCAGTTAGTCTCAATATCAACATGAATACGAAGATTAATGAAGGTTAGTATTGACATGAATAGGATGAATAGGACTATTAACGGTAACATACATTTTTGAAGCAATGGACTTGGTGAACGGTAATATACACGTAGACATAGACAGTAATTCATATTGATAGGAATACTTTTACCAGGCTGAAGTCAGAGGATGACAAGTCTCGGCCCAGGTCGCCACGATGTGACCGGCTTGCGGCATGGAGCGCACCTGAAAGAGCTCTGATTTCAGAGTTCCGGGGCTTGGTCTTCAGAGGTTTAGATGCGGAGTCCTCGGTAATCTTGGGGCTTGCAAGCTAGCGCCTGGTTGGAAGAATACGCGTCGCACTGCTTGCGGCCAATGTTTGCACTACCAAACATCACCACATATGGCCGCGCTGGTCTGCACATGCTTCCGACGAACGGTCTGAATCAGGAACGGCCAGAGAAAGTCTTCTGCTACATCCTGCCTTGCAGCATCTCAGTTCCAAGCCCGATTAACGCCGCCAGGATGTGGAGTTGTCTTTGACCTTTCGGTCATGACATCTTCCTACACCATTCAAACTCGCACACGTCATGTGTTCGTGTAACTGATCCTCCGTCTGAAAATTCGGTGAAGACGCCGCCGAGCTCCAAACTCCAGTGCCGCCTCGTGCTCATCGTCACTGTCCTGGCTGTAGCCACCCCTCGTACGTACATACATTACATTCCATTACATTACATTACCGTACATTACAGTACATTAAATTACATTACATTACAGCACATTACAGTACATTACAGTACGTTGCAGTACATTACAGCACATTACATTACATTGCATTACATTACATTACATTACATATGTACATACATACATACATACATGCATACATACATACATACATACATATATGTATACGGGAACATGTGACAATTCATGCATGCATACCCGAAGCTCCGACATGTGTCACTTCCATGTTGCTCCGCTCTTCTGGTAGAAGAACCAGGTCCAATGCCACTAGGTTAGCGCGGTTAGTAGCGGTTAGTCCGGGCTTGCATCGCAGCACGAGAAAGTTCAAAAGAGAAGCAACAAAGGGTGCAGTGTAGCTAAGTACATCGGTTTTCTGAGAACAATCGCGATGTCTTCATGCACCCTAGCTTGCTTTCTTGTCCTCCTCTTCCTCACTCTCGTCGTCATCATCCTGGGGACGAAAAACACACGATACATCCCAACGAGTTGATCCCAGCACTACATGGCCTCCTTGCCGTCCTTCGAGGTTTTGTACAGCTTGTGCCTGTCGCCGTGCACAGCCGGATTGTGCAAGGCTGGTACAATGGCGGATGGTCTTGCACAAAGCCTCCTGGCACCAAAAAAGCCTTTGCTGACCTCAGAATACCTGAGGAACAGACCATTTCATCATGTAGAGCCGGTTGTCCTCAAGCCCAGGTTCCTACGGTCGTCTCACGGCTCCCTGTGCCCACATGTCCCCTGCACGGACCGCCTAGCATGGAGCCAAACCGCACTGGCAGGCGGTCCTCTGTTTTCGATGCCTGTGACCCGGCCACGACGTACGCAGTCATGGGGAAAGAAGTGCCTGCCAACTTGTTGCTCAAATCGATGTGGCCCATGCAGGAGCAGATGTAAGCATGAACCGCAGACTATGACTATGTCAGCAGTAGCTGCCACAGGAACGGGAAATATCAACAGCAAGCGTACTTTTGGGTAAACAGAAAACCTAGGGCAGCAACATTTACAAAACACAGAAAAACGTCCAGTAGCCACATCCTTAGCCAAGGAACCTCCCCACGTCGCCAGCACTGGGCTGTACTAGGCTGCTGGGGCTGTGGCGCTGGGCTCCGAGGTCATCCCGAACAACATCCAAGGAAAGACAAGGCCACCTGCGTTGGGCTGAACTCCGCAAGTTGGACCCGCTTTTAGGTTCCCTTAGCAAGGACGAGCCCGCGGATTTAGGGTATAGGGTTTTGGGTTTAGGGGTGTAGGGGTGTAGGGCTGTCGGGAGCTTGGATGGAAGGGGAGACTCGGGCCTACTTTCGACTCAGTGCTGGTTCATGGCACTTCGCTCCTTACAGCCAAACAGCCCGTTCGGAGGCTGGAAACGGAGTTGCCTGACATCCCAGCCGCTCGGGCTCTGGGCTGTTCGCTTCACGATTCTCACACTTTTGGTTGGTCTGTGCAAATATTTGCTGCTCTTGCCGTCACCACCAGTGCTCTCCGCTTCTTCGTTGGCGTTTTGGCCCAGCGCTAGCAAGAGTCGCAAAGACTGGAGGAAGGAGCCGAAAAGGGGACCATGAGCACAAGAGTTCGTACGGTGACAGTATTGTGGCTAGATGCCTGAAGCCGGGGAAGTGCCACAACCAGCAGAACCATGACCGTGATACTCGTCGGGGCAAAGTAGCCAACAATCCTTAACCCTAAACCCTAAACCCTAAACCCTCATATCTTCTGACTTTCAACTTACAACGCAACACTCTGGGCGCCAGCACTCGACTTGCGCGCGGTGGAGCATGTCGTAAGTGCCGGGCCTTGGGTCTGGTCCGAGGAATCTAACACATGCAGCCCTGTCGAGAATTCAGAGTAAGGTCATCAGGGGTTTTCTGGAGGTTGAGGGTTTGAGATTTCAGAGCTACATCAAGGTCCGAGTCCAGCAAGTTTGTTATGTTGAAACCCGCTCTCAAGCGCAACTAGCAGAACAGATATTGTATGATGTTGCAGCACATCGCCATGCATTCTGAAGCAACACAGTTGTATCTTCGGCTTTTCAGAAAGACCCCGACACCATGCCTTCATTGTCATAGTGATATGGGGCGGCTTATCTAGCAAGCGGCACCTATGCGGCTACCATTATGATTCTCCTGGAAAGTGCTGGCGTTCTGGCCATAACTGTCATGATAATACATTCTTCGTTGACTTAGGAAAAGTGCTTGCCAGTTTCTAGCTCGCATCTGAACAGCAGCAGAGGTCCCTTTCGGTTCAGGCTTCGACCGTCTCAAGCCGAGCCATGCCGGGCAACGGTGCGAGGTCCATGTAATCATCATCTGAAACATACCGCCACGACATTTCCTGCTGGACACTTCCCGCATTTAGTTAAACATCAAGCAGGCGCTTACCGTTACATCATAGTTACGTTACTTCGGAGAGTTCAGCCGTCTTGACCGGTTGCCCTGTGCGGTGGCTGGATGCCAGCGCTCGGGCAAGCCGATAAAAAAGCCACCTTATTGCTGCTGCACCGGCAGCCTGCGGAGCTACCTCCTGGACGGTTGCTTGCATCGCTCGCAAGTGCGGTGTTGCATCGCTGCTCTCGATGACGCAGGGGTTGCCAGACAACGAACTGACCCGTCGAACCTTCCAATCAGATTGCCAAGAGTGACTTCACCAGCGCAGCTTATTCCATGCGCCTTCGCACAACTTTCATTGGGGCCACTTGGTATGCCTGTCGTAAGAGTTTTACTTCCACTCCTTGCAGTCGGCACAAAATCCGATAAAGCTCCCTGCACGAAGGACCCTAGCGAGGCTCTGTAATGATTTAGCAGCAAGAAGAGTCAATGAGAATGGGAATCAGGTGGCTATCTGAGCAGTGCTCAAGGATGAGTAGGAGACAGCTCATGGTTGAAAGCATTCACCCTCAGGCCGAAAGACCCAAACCCTCAACCCTCCATCAGGCCGTTTACACACCGGTCATTGAGCCCATCGCTCCACATCAAGCTGCTCCCCCTCCTCAATTGTATCGACGCCCGGCCTGCAGGTTAATTGGCCCTGGGGGTGTAGGACCCTTTACCATTTATAATATATACTTTACAATATATAACATATCATACAACATATATCATATATAACATAATGACATAATGTATGTACTATAATTACTATAATATACTAAGTGTAGGATGAAGGGGGTTTAAGGGCTGAGCTTGCAGGGCGAGCGCCTTTTCGGGTATGCGCTCTCTGGACCCGGGGGTAGGGTAGGGTGAACCGGGGGGGTCTGCGGTGAGACAGAAGGAGCACCCAAGCGAGGTATCTCCGACGGCACGAAGTTTAAAGTTTGGGGTTTCAGCCTGCAAGATGCTTCGGAAAATCGGTTTCTGGGGCTCCAGCATCGCAAGCCATAGCAATCAGTTTGTGTTTTTTCGGTCCACAAGTCCGATACGACTTGAAGGTATCACAAAAACTCAGAACTCACTGAACTCTTGTGGACTAGGGCTCGGGGCTGCCAGCGACAGAGGCGTTGGGACAAACACGTGCAGCCCAAACCCCTACCCCTTGGGAAGGCCCCATAAACCAAGAGCATCAATGAAACAAAGACAGCACCTGGCAGCCCCCACCTCCAGACCATCTTCGGGCCTTCATCCTCCTCCTCGTCCTCGTTCTCCTGCCAAGGTCGTGTGCTCATCAAAAAATGACCGTGAGAAAGCTCTCCAAGATCGAAACTTCAGGAAATGTACCAAATGTTGTTGTGACACTTGTGCCCACCTCAGCCTCGGCATCTACGATCTCCTCCTCATCCTGCTGAAACCAAAAGACGCCGTGACAGAGCTGACCCAACCGATCATAACAAGAAGACCACCTTGATTGCACATGGCATGGTGCAAGGGATCTTCCGCGGCTCGGAAATTTGCTTCTGACATTCGCGGAACGATGTTCTCACTCAGCGTGCTCTGAGTGCCTCGTCTTCTGCTTCTTCTTGGCCTCAGTTGCCAAGATGGTGGGGGCTCCGCCGGGGACTGATTCACAAGCTCAGTGGCCCACAATCGTCTTCTTCCTCCTGCAACAATCACTGCGGGAATTGATGGCCTAAAGGCTGGCCCGAGATGATCTCTTACGCAAAGACCACGCCAAGGAAGAGGTTGACCCGCGGCAAGCGCAGAACTCCAGGCTGAGAGGACTACAAGTAGCTCTAGAACTCATCAGATCACGCCTAGAGCTGAAAATCAAAGAAAGCAGTCTGCTCCTCTACCCGGCTTTGGGAGATTTTGCCGCACAGGGATAGTCAAAGCGCGACGATCCCGCAGCAGCTTAGTCAAACAATTAAATTAAGTTCATGACACCAGCAAGGCAAATATCTTCTGAACATCACTTCTACTATGATTACCACTACCAGCATTGTCCGTGTAAGAGCCTTCATAGTACAGAAAACAAAGATCTGCTCACATCCTGAGGGAAGCGTCCTCCTCTGGAACTGCCTGCGAAGCTGCCTCCATAGGAAGGCAAGAGACTCTTGGGCTCAAGGTGATGAAAGTAACGGCGACAGGGAGGACAATGTAAGGGCAATGAGAATGATGGTGCTCACGCTGATCAGGTTGCTGACGGCGATGATGGTGTTGATGATGGTTGTGATGGTTGTGACGGTTGTGAGGGTGACAAGGCTGATGCTGATTACGATGATGATTATGAAATCGTGAGCGCCGTGGTGCTCTTTGTTGCATTACGGTTACCATTGTTACGGTTATTTCTCGGAATGCTGCTCATGGCATCGAACTCAAAAATAGGCGTCAAGCTGCAACTAGCTGCTTCTTGGGCTGTCCTTGCTGCAACTATCTTCTTCTTTGTTGTTGGCATAGCTCTCCTTGTTACAATTGCAACCTTCTTGCGATTACTTCTTACCATTGAGTCTACGAATCCACGACACCCGGCCTTCCTCTTCTTGGGCATCACACGAGCACACAAGCTCGAGTGCGGCAAAGGAAGGCTCTGCGAGCGAAGGCGTCGACGACAACGACTACCAGTGACTACCAATACTTTCCGCGGCCCTTGTTGGTAGCTGGTATTAGTCTGCAAACATAATGGTGAACTGGCAAGTCGGAACATACCGCTGCCACGACGGCGCAGTACCAGTTTAGCCAACCTTCTCCCAGGAATACATTATCGTCTTGATGTTATGTTCATGTTCATCACCTAAATTTTTCGGGTTCATAGGGGTCATTGCATACATTATAGCCAGGACCATTCTGCACAGCAACTGTTTTGCTGACACGGCTGTTGCTATTTACAGCGGCCAGGCTGGCGATACTCAAAACTAGAGAGTACAGTATGGGGACAAACATTCTGCGGCAGTGGTAGACAAACGAATGCGCATGTCATGTTGAAGGAATAGTGTGCCTTGTAAAGGATGGACAGAATGGCCTAGTACTGAGGAACTTGTCTTAAAAGCAGCTGCAGATGTGACAGGCAATGTCGGCAAAGCTGGCCCCAGAATGCTGCAAACAAAGCATCATCTCTAGCCTCGACTGTCAGCAAGCCTCATATTCATCTCAGCCCCGGATTCCCCTTCGAAACTACCGGCTCTGGCACGTACGGATGTTTCCTCCGCAGGGTGGCGAAAATCAGAGGGGCACGTCACATCGCATGCAGATGTCCCACAGTTTCGAGACCCTGACCCGGAGATATGATGAGATTCTATGATTCATAGACCCTAAACCCTAAACCCTACTCTCGGTGCACGATGTTGTCTCTACTGTCTCTACCTTGTACCTACCGTCCTCGCATGATCCTACAGACAGTCTTGGGTAGGGGCTGGCTCACATGCCTGCCCGAAAATCACCTGAGCAGAGCAATTGCCGCATGTTTGCGAAAACCAGTCTTGGCAGCACCAACTGCACCAGGCCGATTTGGAGGTCACGGCCGGGGGCTCATTCAGCAAGCATGGGGCATTCAATGTCTCGGCTTAGGGGTTTAGGGTTTAGGTTCGTTTTCAAGGGTTTAAGTTGGTCAGCAATCCTCGAACATCCTCGAAGCACCTTACTCATGCATGCCAGCAGCAGCCGTTGGTCGACATTGCTGGCCATATAGTCATCAAGCAATCCAGACCTGAGCTCAAAGGTGCAGGGGTTTTGGGAAAAGGGCATGTAGTGGTGTTTCGGGACTAGGCTCAGGTTTTCCTGTTGTTCTGGTGTTCTCTCCGGCACCAAAAGCGAACAACCCCCAAGCTGTTGAAGCGGTGCGCCGAAACTCTGAACCTGCCACATGGGCGCTTCGTGCTGCGAGGCAACTGCCAAAAAACGGAAGGAGGGAGTGAAGGACGGACATGAGCACACAAGCAAGGGACGAAGAACACAGGGAAGGCAGCAGGACAGGAAGGGAGGAAGGAAAGGAAATCGGAAAGGACAAGGAACCAGGACGGCAAGGAAGGAAGGAAGGCAGAGAAGAAGGAAAGAAACACAACCCAAGAATTTTATCGTAACCATATGTATATGTAGACATAAGATATGAAGTATATTTATTCTACAGACAACATGTACATGGTGTGATGTAGTTTAAATAGCACTCTATATATACATACACATAAATCGCACATGTCGTATATGTCGTACATATAGAAAGAGAGAGAAAAGAGAGAGAGAGAGAGAGAGAGAGAGAGAGATGGAGAAGGAGAAAGAGAGAGAAGAGTATATATATATATATATGATCCCGG